TGAAGGCAAAATTGGCAGGGTCAAAATTCCAAAACAAGAACAACCTACCCTATTTTAGTTGAATGTACTTACTATTGGTAATTAAGCTTTACCAGAGCCATTCCAATCTTCTAAAAGGGGGGGCACATAAAGGCTGGGGGAAAGATTAGTAAGTGAGGAAAAGGTATGTAACAATCTGTAGAACCCAAAAGGCTGTATTTAGTTCTGTATCACTGGCCCAAAATAATTCTCTGCCCTGGGCATGGCAAGGCCCTACCAGAAGGAACAATCTCACAATGTATGCAGCTGAGAAACATAGGCAGTTACTTAACAGAAACACAGAGTCTCAAAACAGATCTTGCAACAAGCCCAACACCAACTATATCCTCATCTCAGCTTTGGCAAAACCATTACAAGGCCCAATAACATCAGCTACAACATCAAGGTACAGTGAGGAAGCTAATTTTGGTTTGATGAAAAGGATGTATTGTTATTGCTATTTATTGTCCAATATGGTATATGCTGTTACCTGCCAACAGTCTTCTGCTTTCAGTTTTCAATAAAATAATAAATGGACACAAATCTCACATAAGAGAGGGCAACATCAGTAGAAATTTTCAGGTCTTCTTGAACTGAACTCTATCTGGACACTCTCTTGTTGACTTGAAGTGGCCATTCTCCAGGGGCTTTCCAAATAGAGATGAATTGGAAATAGCAGAAGTTTGATTCTATCCAAGTCAGTCTAAACAGAGACAATGGCTTCCTGTTTCACTATAGAAATTCATTTATTCAGCCATACGGAGATCACTGTGTTATCACAAATTTCTACTGTTACAAATACTCTTTATAATATTTTGCATATATTCAAGATGTAATTGTCACAAAACATACTTTTAGTATTTCATTGCAAAACTTTTATTATTACTTTCATCATACCCAGATATGTATATATTACTGCCTAGTGATGGTAACAGCCGATGCAGCTGATTCTAATCCACAAGAGTTTATACCATGAAATTCATTAGACTTCCAGGCACTCCAAGAATCTTTTTGCTGTTTGTGCTGCAGCAGACTAGCTACCAATTGGGAAGTTGCTCCCCAAACATGACAATTTATCCCTTTGATATTCAAAAGCTCTGCAACACATATAGTCCCACTTGAATCCATCAGTACAGCATAACCACTTCAGGCTGAACTGTAAATAAAGTATTCTTTATATCCTGATCATCAACTGAATTTCTTGATGATTATAAAAATTATGCATTAATACTATTATATATATACATTGTTATTATTTTATTATGCATTATTATAGTTGCCTTTCTCTTAAAACAAGATCCAAGGCTACAGGCAACACATTTATGAAACATATAAATCAACTAAAAACAATGCCCATTAAAACGTCTAAACACAAAAAAATAGAAGAGCCATGCTGGTTCAGACCAAAGGCCCACCTAGTCTAGCATTCTGTTCACACAGAAACCAACCAGCTGCCTATAAGAAACCCACAAGTAGGACATGAATGCAACGATACCCTCTTGCCCAAGTTCCTCAGCAACTGGCGTACATAGGCATACCATTTCTGGTGCTAGATGAGTAGTCACTGATAACCTTATTGTCCCTGAATTTATCTAACCCTTTAAAAGGTATTCAAATTAGTGTCTGTCGCTACATCATCTTGTGGTAGCAAATTCCAGTTATAATTATTCTTGTCCTTTCATTTATTCTGAACCTCCAGCTATGGAACTTCACCAGATGAGCCCAGCTAATAATAAGTGAGAGGAGTAAATGTCACCCTAGCATTTTTCCACGTATGCTTAGGTCTGTAGGCTTCTACCGTGTCTCACCACACCTACCTTTGTCTGTGGTTAGCAAATCACGCTTTGTTAGTGCAGCTGGGTTCAGACAATGCAATAACGTGTGTTTCAGCAATCACAGATCAACAAAACAGCCCACATGCAAACCCTGAATGTGAATTATCATATTGTCTGAACTTATTCAATGTATCAAAACCTACAATGAAACTGGTGCCTGACTTTCTATAAAATGAGAATTCCTACCTAGAACACAAACTAGGCTGAATATTCTGCTAGTCCCCAGATGAAGGTACTGTTTAATTCCCATCACAGATGATGAATCATTTTATTAGAAGATGTTTTACAAGCTGAGATACAGACAGTAATAAACTGAGCCTGAGCTGGGTGAATGCACAACTCTTTTCTGTCAACTTTCTATCAACGTCCTAGAGTCTTGTTTTCCAGTTAACCTATTCCTTATTCCTGTGATTAAGCATCGCCATTATTTATTTATAAACTGCGCCTACAGCCCTAAGCACTAGTCAGCTTCGAAGGTTTACACCACACAGAAAGTTATGAACCATTATATAGTTGTTGATACCCGAATTATGAATACAATAAAGAAGCTAAATCATCTTATGCATTAAATAGTTACAGAGATGCTAGGGAAAATACATTTGCCCTTCACTCTTAAGTGTTCCTCATGCCAGTTTGGTGGCAGGACAGGCAATGCATGCACTTTATCTTAACCCTCAAAAGTGACTCTCTAAGTATTTTATTACCATTAAAACTCAATACGTAATGCTGGTGCTGTATTTAAGGCCTTTCCTTTGGACTCAAAAAAAAAAAAAAAAAGACAAGGAACACACAAGAGGAATGTGAAATAAAAAAACAAAGCAAGATTACTTTTGCAATATCCGAACAAAACTGAGAGTTGGAAGAAGGCATTAACATCCAGCTGGAGGCAGCTGATCAACCCTTGCTGATATTTTACGTAAAGTTCTTCAAGATACAACCACCCAGCAGCCCTTGTGAACAACCCAAAAAATATTCCTGCAATGAAGCATGTGGGGAACTTCAAGGAAGAACTAAAACCATTTTTCCTGAAAAATGGGTGATGCTACTTGACTTCTCCATTTCTGCTTAAAAGGATAATCCTCTTTCAAAGATTTAATATACTTACTGATTAAGCCTTAATATATACTCAGGCTGATGATTTCTTGCTTGGAAACAATTTCTTCTGTTAAATAAGACAGTACACAAATTTGGTTGGACTGGCTCTTCTCTTCTTCCCCATCTCCCATTTTGCAAATCTTTACAGCAATATGTATCTGATTACATTTTGCAAAAGCAAAACAAAACAGAAACAAAAACCCTTAGGGGAAAAACAATGAGAAGCTTGCCTTGCTGTTCTTTTCCAAAGTAAAAATGCAACACTTGTTATTTTAGAAGGAATGGTCTTATTTATGCAGCACAGAAAAATAGTAATACAAAACAATGATATATATACAAACCAGGATGAGAGAAGATATAACTGTAGCTCCTACATGAGCAATTAGAAAGGAAGGGAAAGTATATGGCAGTTCTACACAAATAAGGAAGCAATGTGCAGAAGGGCTATACATATTAAAGGCTGCCCAAGCTTGTATTACAGGAAGTAATGGATTTACAAAGCACCAGTGTAGATTAGATATACAGAGTTGTGGGGGACTTCCTAGTAAGAGCAACACTGATAACGTAACAGCCAGACAATGGCTGATCACTCAAGCTGCTATATTTGAAGAAAGAGTCAGATTTTATGCTGGCAGCCCTCTCTAGGAGATCTATTTATTAAATGCAGTATGGCAGTACTGTAAAATATTAGGAGCATTATGTAATTTAGGACAGATTCTTGTATTTCCATGAAAAATCACTAGTTTGCATTATGTATGGGTTTCACCCACGTTCTATTTACTGTCATCTTTTTTAGATCCCATTATGTTTTTCAACTAGTATTTGCCATTTGTTATGACAAAACTTGATTACAACAATGAAGGTCATTATACATACAACCTATAGAGCCTGATCCTATGAGTGTTTACTTTAATGCTGGGGACAATTGAAGGCAAAAGGAGAAAGGGACAGCAGAAGTTGAGGTGGCTGGATGGCATCACTGTGGAGGTGGGCATGGGCTTCTTGAAGGAGAGATGTTGGAGGATCGGGGAACCTGGAGGAATGTTGTTCATGGAGTCATGAAAAGTTGGACATGACTTTGCGAATGAACAACAACAAAGCCCTTTGTGGTCCACACTGCTTTTTTCATATATGTATACATACAACTGAATCCTTGGTGCAAGCCTAGACCTACACTTTTACATTCAAGTATACAGACCCTGTGCACAAAAATTGTGGCATATTGCAGTAACTAGTGTGTACTATTCATGTACAGGCATGAGGTTTGCAACACACTGGTGTGGTGGCAGATGTGCATCACCGTGTGCTTGAAAACGGCTTTAATATCAGATGCTAATCACCAATTGTACAATAACTGGACTAGCCCAAAGCACTTTTTCTTGTTGAATCGTCTTCAACCACCATGTTTTAATCCAAGCAAGTTTAGTGGTACTGTGTTAAAAAAAGTATTCTGAATCAAAAAGAAGACAATTGAATGTCCAGTTCACTGTCATTTTAATAGCTAACTGAAACTCATGGAATACAAAGTGTTGGAAGATTTTACCAGTGCAGATGACCAGGCAAGTGCTGATTGTGGGCAAAAACAGACGTGACAAGGTACACTGCCAATATTGTCCCAAGAATCCTGTGCAAATTAGATATGAATTGCAAGTGACAGTTCTATAGCCATACAAAGTACAAGTGTGCCATCACAACTGCATACCTATAAACAGATAGGACTGATTTTTATTTATCGAGCATTGTTGCTACCTGGTTAAGGATGTAAATTCATTGAAGGAAAACAACTCATGCCTTGAAAAACAGGTTTTAATATTCATGTATTTACTATCATCATGTAACACAGAGTTGTATATTAGTATTTTTCTTTAAAAGCTTTGAGCAATAGATCTGCAGCCAGACCAGGTGTAAGGATCCCACTGGCAACCTTTTCCTCCAGAAGTGGAATCTGATCTCTGACTGCCAAGTGACTCCGGAAATGATCCAGCATACTTTCTTGGATTACATTCCACATCCACACTTTTTGCTGTCTCCTTCTTTTGGCAAGCAACTCACCACTTGTAAACATGAGGTCTTGGAATTCTGTCATCTTATCCCATATGTCAGAGATACCTTCTCCAGTTTTGGCAGAGATCCGTATTACCTATTAGATTGAGAAGTTTATTTGCTTGTCTAAATATACAGTGCAATGAAGATACTAGGGTTCACCTAAACATAAAGACAAATTCAAACCACAGCTCAACCTTTAAACAATTAAAGTCAGTGGAAAGATCCTGATCATCCAAAACGTAATGCATCAGCATCTAAGAAAAAGTAACAAAACCAGGTATCTAACATGGGATAGACTACAGGATTCAACATGATTAGTGGTAAGTCAACTGTCCTCCGTTACTGATGCACAATATTAGTACTGGTGCCATATTTAAAACTGAGATTGCACTTGAAGATGGTCTGGAAACTTTAAGTAATTGAAAACATGGCTGCCTATCTTTTGAACCATATGAACATATGACACCTATTCTGAGATTGGTTTCCAGTCTGTTTCCAAGCTCAATTCAAGATATGGATTTTAGGCATTAAACCTCTAAATGGTCTGTTTTCCAAAGATATACTTAATGTCTCAAGATATACTTTTTTCCTACAAGCCCCACTCAGACATTATAATTAGCCAATGAAGACCAATGAGGTCATACTCCATGTATACTATAATTTTTAGAATAAAAATATAAAATACATACAAACTAAAATGAGTCACCACTATGACTCTTTTTTTGTGGCAATCCCCAAGTTACGGCTTTCCCTCACAAAGTTCTCTTTTTGGAGTTAAACATTCACCTATCTGCTCCACTATATGGAAGTTGTTCATTGGTTGTCTTTTTGGTTGCCTGCTACTCTAACTTTTAGTTAATACATTTTGTTTGCTCTATAATTTTAGATGGATTTATTTTGTGGTTTAAATGTATAGGTAACATTTTGGATGTTAAGCAAGAAAGATGTAACAACATAATTAAAAATACATTAGAAAATAAACATTAGAAATACAGATGTTAATATCCATATTAGTTAATAATGTCCATATAAGTATATGTATCTCATAATAACCATAAACGCTCCTCAAACATAAGACAAAAGAATAAAGACAGTGAATATATTAGACAGTGTAGTTAACTTTACTGCAAGCTGCCTTGTGGGTGTTTAATTGACCAGTACTCTACAAAGATTGTAGACTAAAAAGTATGCTACTACATGTTATGAAGCAATAAACAGTTATGGACAAAAGGAAGAAGTAAAGATTAAACCAGTGCATGCATTTCTGAATCAGCTTCCAACACTGAGACCAAGGTGATGTTCAAAATCTCACACATACTTAGTATCACATGGACACATGGAAGGATTAAGAGACAGTTGGAGAACAGGCAATAAAGCTTGTACTTAAACAGTTACACTAATTCCTACAGTATTAATATTCTCAGCAATATCTCATTTTTCCTAATTCAAGAAAATATAATTTTGTCTATACAAACCTTTGGCTTCCAAACTTTTGAACGCTTACGGAGTAATTTCAGAGCACTGACATATTCTGCTTGAATTCTTCGTGCTGGCACAATGAGATCTCCATCAGCTTTAGTTACAACAACTAGATCTGCCATCTCAATTATACCTCGTTTGATACCCTGAAAAGAACAAACAAAGACAGTGATGGAATTCAGAGATGCAGATTATAGCCATAAAAGCCACGTTCCTTTTAATGGTTCTTTCAGATAAAATACCAAGTAGCAGAAAATTAAAGAAGTGCAATATATACCAAGAGTATTCACTAGCTTTTTCAAAGGATTTCTGATCATTGTAGGTATCTTCAGGTAAAACAATAAATGCTAATGCTTTTCAGTAAAGGATTTCCAAGGAAGAACTGCATCTTTTTCAAGTAATCTGGGAAATGGACCTACCCAAACTGCAAATACAGAGAGAAATAACTCCTATAAAATTGAAAAAACATGAGTTGTCTTCAGAGAATTTATACACTTATTTATTTGCATATTGTCCCCTGCTCAATGAAAAGTCATGACAATATACAAAAAATACAAAAACAAGAAAACTACAATAAGCTATTCAGTACATGCTGTATAATCAACTATAAGCTTTGTAATAAAACAAGAGAGTAACTATTAAAAGGGTATGGTGACATCTTTCATATTAAATATAATTCACTAAATTATTAATACATAACAACTGTTGTCCATTTCAAGTTGCAATTGTTTTTTTCTTCTTCTGTTTTTTAGGAGAAAGAAAATAGGAAAAATTGGGCAGGAAAAAGAAAAAGTATCTGGGAGGTGATTTTAAAACAATTCCTTGTTTACTTTTTCTTGTCGTCTTGATAATAGCACAACAAATCAGGCATTCCTGATAAACTTGACTGATCACTGTCACAAGGTTTTCATCACAAAATTGAAGGGAAGGACTAGCCTTCATTTGGCAGTGAACAAACACCAATCAACAAGACAAAGTAGAAAGTACTCAGAAGTTGCTCCTTTCAAGTCGCCACCTTCCCAGAACCTCTAGTTCCAACTGTGATGGATGTTAAGCCATCTAACAATCCAACATCCTCTAGTACAACCAGCAAATGTTGCCAGGAGGGTGAATTTCATTTAAATCACTGGTCAGTAAAGCTAGATTTAAATCATGGTTTTTGACATAATTTGCATGCCTGCCTGCCTTGCCCATAGATAGAGAAACATCATTTAAATATTCCCAAACGGGGTCTCTTTTACGGCCTGCTGCCAATTATAAATTTTATCCTCCAGGGAAAAATAATATAATAAACCTCAAGCTATACACAAAAAGGTCCAAAAACTTGTGGAGTATTCTCCTCAAAAGGTTTCACTTTCATTTTTACTTCTTGCCCCTCCCTCCTTAGCTTCTTGCGCAGATCTGTTCCACTCCCAACAATCTTCTTCTAGTCATTGAATTTTTTCAGACTTAGCATTTAAGAGGTAAGGGGTTGATTCAATGGTCTTTTTTCTCAATTCTGTTTATTTTATAACATTGCTGCTGTGAAGAAGAGACATGTGAACTCTGCAGACACAAATTCACAGTTTTGAGAACTGTAAAACCAAGCAGTATCTTCTATACAGAAAAACTGCCCAGTAATTTTACAGAAACCTCTGGAAAAGCATGATATTGTGAATGGCTTAATGGAATTCATTTACCAAAAAATTTAAACATTGCATGAATATACAACCTCATGCTTCATAATTAAAAACTCATCCTTATTTCAGGATGAATAACCTTTGGACTATAATGTATCTTAAACAGAAAACTATCTTTTGATAGACTTTTTCCCCTCATAAAGCGTTTTATTTAAAAAAAACTGATTAAAATCAAACAAATCATTTATTAAATAATCAATTGTTATCCACTTCGGTTGCCAGAACTGACCACTGTACTTTGATGGTCACTTCTGGCAGGCCAAGCTGGCACAGGGTACTTTTGAAAACCTCTGACGGTTATGGTTATTTCAACTTTAGATGCTTGCCAAATGCAGCAACAGTACCTGTAATTCATCTCCTCCTGCTGGCGGCAACAGCAATACAAACATATCAACCATATCAGCAACAGCAAATTCCGACTGCCCCACACCTGAGAATCAAGAGCAGAAAGTGACAAACACTCAAGTGACAAAATGCATTTTCCAATTATAGGGGAAATGTTCCTTTTCAAAGTTGTTCATGCAGACACAACTGCACTAAATTGTGTCAGTGAAGCATTATAGTGCCACCCTTTCCCCTCTCATTGTGTTTTACCGCACGTCAGCACTGACTGAGCTGATCATAAGTTTGGGTTCTCTCCTGTTCTAGACACCATGGTCCAGGGCAAGACAGAGACAAGACACTGTGCTATCATGGAAGCCACACTGCACAGAACTAAGGAAAGAGATCAACTGACCTACTGTTTCCACAAGAACAATGTCATAGCCTCCTCCTTCACACAACAGAATGGCTTCATTTGTGGTTCGTGTCACGCCGCCCAGTGTTCCCCTGGTTGGAGATGGCCTGATGTAAGCATTCATATCTCTTGACAACTCAGTCATTCGCGTTTTATCTCCCAAGAGTGAACCTAAAGCAATGAACAAAGCATTTCACAGCAGCTTAGCCATTCAAGCATAATACATTTTGTCCCAAACCTAAGCCAGGGCAGGTGCATTCTTCTAAAAGAATGTCTTGTATAAGATACCTCCACACAATTTGAGGTGATCCTTCCTCCCCCAGCAATCCCTGTACCACCTCGTTCAGGAAGAGAGACTTCTTCAGGGAAGCAATCAACTATGGTGGGGGGGGGGGGGTCAGGATAGTTCTCTTCTGTGAATTTATTTCTATTTACAGTTCTTTGACTACAAGCCAGTATCTATAATACTGGTGAAGAATCTAATGTCTGTTTCCTGATTTTGTTATCACACTTATTGAGTTTTCAGCATGAGACCTGCTACACATTTAATAAAAATAACTGTACAAGCATCTATGCACATTTGCTCTGAAGTTAAGTCCTATTTTTAATAGAGCTTGCTTAGGTAAGCAGGCATAAGTTTGCAGTCCAAATATCTGTTTCTACAACTGGCAAAGTGATGTTTTCTTGTACACACTCACCACCACTAGTGCTTGAAGAAGGGTCCACTGCCAGGACAGATACTTTGTACCCTCTTTCAGTGAGCATTTTCCCAAAGCATTCGATGAACGTTGATTTCCCAGCTCCAGGGGGGCCTGATAATCCTGAGTAGCAGCATAAAAATTCTTTACAACAGGCAATCAAATCTATCTGGGCAAGGCTATCTGTATACTATGAAAAATTTCGAAGTTAAGCATTTCTGTTATGCATTGACCTAAATCCAGTTAATGATTTGAGACCAATATTCCATGCTCTGTTCTTAATTATCATGCTCCCCTCTCAGCTGACAAGTGTCTTTATAAATCTGTGACTTTTTAAATGTGTACATGATCTAATAACAGTTAACAGTTAACTCGTGAGCAGAGCCGGCTGGTGCAGGAGGTCAGACTAGATGGCCTGGGAGACCCCTTCTGACTCGCTCTGTTTTCTATGTTTCTATGTAACACAGTATATAGCATTTTTATGTGAAGGCATCACTTGCTCTTTCTAAAGCAACCCAAATGTTGGTTTGTTCAATGTTTTTCTACACTACAGGAATATTATATATAAGCATGTTTTATAGAAATTAAATTTTAATTTACTTTAACAAACAAGCAGCTAGCACACTAACTAGCAAAATGGTCAGGGAAACTGAGGTATTTAAAATGGCACATATAACTTCAGAGATAAATAAACCCTGTTTCCTAAAAAATAAGAAAAATCACAAGTGAAGGCACTTTGAATTAGAATAGCAATAACTGCACAAACAAAAGAGAACTGACCCACTCTAAAGGCTAGTGGTTTTCCTTTATTTAATTGTTCTTGTTCTCTGTGGTAGGATAGTACCTTCTGAAGAAGCACCTGTGCAATCTCCTTCTTCCTGCTGTGTGTGGATTCTATAAGAGTAATAGCTTCGGCCAAACAGGCCCTGTGTCCTTGGATTAGTCCACCATACAGTCTGTCTAGAAGTCTTTGGTCCTTGTCAGAGAGATCATGTGTCTGTTGTTCTTTAGTTGCAGGACAACACAAGCTACTTTTCAATCCCTTGAAAAGTATCATCTTCTTTGAACAACATTGTTGTAGTGAATTAACATGTTGGCCATATAGAAATGAAGATCTCCAGCTGGATCTCCAGGAGAAACTGGTGAAAGGAGGTTTCCTAATATACTTAAGGAAATGGTAGAGAGGAAATTGTAGCAGCAATGATGATCCATTCATTTTTTCTTAAGTCGGAGAACTTGTTTTTAGACAGCCTAATAGGAGAAGAAAAAATTCTGGTACTTCCATACTTTATTTTCAGCTATAAGTCAGCAGTAGAAAAGTACTGTTTCAGGTCAATTCACCAGATATGTTTAGCCATGTCTAACATTGGCTAAACAAACATGTAGCATATTATGAAAGCATAACAGCTGCATTCCTGAGAAAAAGCCAGCTTTGTGAAGTGCATTTGAAACAGTGAAGAGGCAGGTGAGCAGGGAAAATGGTAAACATCTGCTTGGTGTCCCACTACATGTAATATGTACTTGAAGCCTATGGAAGACAACTTAGTGGTGTAGATGTCAATTTTATAATGATTTTTTTACCAATTCTACCAACCTAACCCACAATCCTTGAATTTCAATTCCCCATACGTAGAATTCACTTGTCAGCCTGATCATTTTCCAAATCATATGGATCAGTTCTGCTTTAGTAATTGAACTGCTAGAAATTTAAAACAAAAATAGATGGGAGTTTCTAACTGGACATAAGAAAAAACTGTATGGTAGGAAGTTATAAATTATGTTCCTTGTGTAAAAGGATAACTCCTCCTGGAATCACCAATTACTGCCTCCATTCATGTGTCCTTTGCACCAAAAGGTTAGTTCATGCCTTGTCCAACTGAGCAGCTTAACATGCCCAGAAGCATTTGCTTGGCTACTGGAAGAAACAAGATTCTGGGATCAGATGACTTTTGGTATGTCCTACCAGGACTTAAAGCTTCCAGGAAGAATGATCCACAGACCTATTAATGAGAGCCAAATGGATGCTTCCCGTGTTACAAGATGAATTTCTAGAGTTAAGTAGTGGCATGATGTACTCAGGAAATACCTGGATATAGTGCTGTTTAGCAGATATTCTATTAGTTCTATCATTCAGTAGAACTAATAGAACTACAATTTACTTGTACTTAAATTTTAATAAAATTAGGAAGAAGATAGCATTTTCTCTAATTTATCCCTAAAAATGATTTTTCACCAAAACACTTACTTAGAAGTAAGTTTGAGTGAATTAGTGGAGCCTATTTCTGAATAACCATATTTAGGAATAGGTTTTAAGTATTCTAAACAGGGCTGAACATTTGGAAAATAACATACTTATGGAGACATTAATCTGTTAAACAGATATACTATACTGAAGTAATAGCACACACAACACCCAAAAGGACTAAATTAATATATAATATTCATTATTCAAAATCCATTGAGCAGCATTTATCCTATGTGTTGAACGAATTAGAATCAGTTTGCTTGGTGACTATAAGTGGCATTTAGGTTTTTTTAATGGTGATTTTATGTAATCTAGCTTATGTTGTATTTGCTTGTATATTTATAATAAAAATATAAATGTTTTAAAGAAAAAAGTCATAGATCACTAGAAGCTAATTCAGATAACCACATAGAAAATTTATGATCTCTTACATAAACTTTAGCAGCTGGTGCCAAAAGCAGACTAAATGCTATATTTAGGGTGCAATCCTATGGATGTTTAGTCAGAAAAAGTTCTACACTGCCTGGGACATGCTGGGATTGTGCCCTTAGACACTCCGGTGTAAGCTTTTTTATTGTTTTTCCCAAGATTTGCACAGCTGAAATGCCTGCTAGTTGCATACAAAGCTGGTTGGGAACTCCCTTGTAGAACAAAAATAAAACTACTTTAGTTTCAAACATTAAAAGGTCTCATTTGAAAAGGACCTTTCCAATAAGCAGAAATCTAAATTTTAATCTAAACAGCTACTTCATCCTAGGTCCTAAGTACAGGAGTTATGCACCGTTAATATTGACATGGTCCCAGTACCATCAAATATAATTTATAAATCTCTTTGCCAGAGAAAGAAGAGAACCACTGTACAGTTTATTCTAGCCCAATCATGTGCTATAATAACATAGATATCTAACATAAACATATACTAGGACTTCACAATTATTCTTCTAAGAGTACACGCCTGACTGTGCTTACTTAGAAGTCCCATCAGGTTCAATGGGGATAATCCCAAGTAAGTGTCCATAGGCTTGCAACTTAAATCACAGTGAAAATAGACTCCAATATGCTACATTAACATCCATTTGAAGTGACCCAAACGTAGTTTTACCTTGATCAATTTTACACTGCAAACATTGCGAAAGGGCAAAGAGCTTTTCCTTGTTAGCAGTACACACAGCCCACCACCAACCTGCCTCCGGTTCCCCACAAACTGAAATCCAGTCAGAAGTTATATTGACAGATGCCCTCCCACATTGGCGCACGAAAAGTGACCTGCAGCCCTACGAAGCTTTTACATCCGGGACGCACCAACATGCAAAGTGAATCAAGGTCGGGTCTTGCCCTCACCCCCGCCCCTCAGGCATGGCGACGGGTCTGAACCGCGCTTGCGCATAACCTGGCCGTTCCAGCGAGTACGGAAGAGCCGACCGAACGTTTCGCACACTAGGGGGTTAGCTGCCCGCTGTCATTCGCAGGATGCCTATAGATCGCAGCAAGTTTTAGAGGGCCGTGATTTCGTCTATACACCGGATTCCTGGTGGCCTGGCGTATTTCTTTTCCTAATCGTTGGTTGCCTCTAATTGTTAGAATGGGAGACAGCTGTTCATATCATACAAGGCAGAAGTCCGATCTCTCTTTCCATCTGCCCAAAAATGTGTAGCAAAAATCATTTTATCGCATTCGAGTCTTATTGTGAAGACACATTTTTAAAAACATTTCAAAAATTGCCCTGTAAAAACTAGCTGTGGGAAATAAAAATCCTGCCCAGTAATACGAAGTTTATATTGTAGGGGGACTACCCTATATTTGGGACGCATGGGCCCATCTCGAATTTCAGGCAAATTGTTATGGGCACTTCCAATACCTGTTCCTCTTCCGTTAGTCAGCAATCCTAGGCGTACGAACATGGTTTAAATTCAACTCAATGAGCTTTACTTCTGAATAGCTCAATTGCTGCCCCCCGCCCCCGCTGCTGTCTGACTGTGGAGAGGGAGCAGAACCTCTGGGGCTGTGAGGGGGGTGGGACGATGGAAGAAGAAGGGGGAAGGCAGGGGGAGCGGAGGAGAAGGAGGTGGTTGACAAATGCAGAAGAGAAGGGAATCGAGAAAGGGAGAAGAGAAAAGTAAAACGTCAACACAGAGGGAAAAGATGAGTAGAAAGCAAGGAGGGAGGAAAGAAACGGGAGCACAGAAACTCCAAGGGAAGGACGTGCGGAAGTGTGGAAAGATCCCCCTAAAAAATAAGGGGCAGCACCCGTAAACAAGGATTCCTAACATTCCAGCAGGCTTCTATGGTAAGGATTAAGAAAACTGTCCTGGGCCGAGAGGGATAAACCGGGCCCCCCTGCAGAGGAGGCGGTGCAAATGCCCCAGTGCGGCTGGCGGATGCCGTCCCGCTCCTTGAGTCCCCGAGGCGCCTGCTGAAGTGCTCTCGGCGGCAGCTCAGTCCTTTGACCCCCGCAGCTGCCCTCCGGCGCAGCGCCGGCCTTCGCCATTCAAGCCTGTGCAGCGACGAGCGGCGGGCAGCCGCTGCAGGCCAAGCGGGGGCGTCAGGGCGCCTTTCGCCGCGCTCCCTCGGTCTTCCCGCCCCCAGCAGCGGCATCCAGAGAGCAAGCCCCGCTCCGGACGGCTGCTACGAAGGCCTCACCTTGGCTATTGTAAGCACACGCACCACATTCTCCCGGCCTGAATTTTGTAAGGTGTTCCTCGGCTTCCGCTTCCTGTGCCACGCGGGGGCGGCGGCGGCGGCGGCTGCATTCGTGGTGCTGAATGTTGCACAGAGGGGGGACTTGCCCTGAACAGGACAGAGCGGGAGGGAAGGAAGGCAAGGCACACTCTTCCGCTTCAATGGTCTGCAACAGCTCTATAGTGTGGTCTGCTGCTACTATCCCTCTCATGGCTTGACCCTGAAAACTTTGTAATGCAGGGCTGGGCAACCTGTAAGCTCCGTCTTATCTCACCACTGTCTGTGTTGGCATAGTCGCAATGGGAGTTGCAGTCCCAAGAACATCTGGAGTCACAAGTTGGCCAGCCCTATATTGCAAGTCAAGACATAGTAGATTGAAACAACTTGATAACATACACTGCTGTTAATACCTACAAATTGCAAATTAGCGATTAAACTCAGTTTGCATTGTCATCTCTACTTTCAGATAGGGGCTGACTAGTAATATTTATTACCAATAGATACTTCAAATTTACTTAATCTATTAATGATATTCGTGATTCATAAGGTGAAGACTGCCATAAGTTATTCTTTTCAATTTTGGTTATCTGCTAAACCTCTGCATTGAAGGCCAAGACAAATATGTAAATTCAGCTTCTACTCAAATGCTCCTTGAGCTATCATTTTCTATCTAACAAGCTCCTTGGCTGCTTCAAAAACTTGTTTATTGTTGGGGCTCAACATTTTCAGCAATATGGTCTATTTTCATATTGTCATCTTGTTTTTATAGTCTGTTCCTTTCTTGTCATCTGAACAATTTTTAGAAGGAATCCTTACCTTTTAACCCTTGAGTCTGCCTATTAATCACTTTGGCATTCTCTTTAACTATGTGTAACTTTGAATCTGTACTATAAATATATTAACCTCCAAGTATCCTGAAGATATGTGGATTTCATTTCTGAAGTTTTAACTTCCTTTTCAGAACAATCCTATGCATCTTAAGTGGGAGAAAGCAGCATTGTGCAGAACATGAATAGGATTGTTTAAGTTTCTTCTTTGGAAGTTTTAAATGTCTTCTTTTGTAATTAACTATGACTGTGCTAGACTTACTGAAAACAATTGAAGTTAGCAGCACAAGACATTTTGCCTTTAGAATGAAAAAACAGAGGAGGAAGTACTTGCATACTGGTTAACTTCAATTACCCTCATATTGACTGGGAAAATATGTTACCATTGCTTTTACAACCAAAATAAAACTTACCTAAATAAGATTGTGCATCAGAAAAGTTGATCATGTAAGCTAATTAGAGGGAGCTAACCTTATGCTTTGTTCTAAGCCCTGTCCAGTATCTGGTGCAAAATACATTATCAAACTGATCAGGAACTATTACCATAATTACATACTGTGTGGCCCAGCTGATCCTGGCCACATAGAGTTGGAAGGGGCCATGAAGTCCATTGGGTCCAACATCCTGCTGTTGCAGGACACCACTTTATATCATCCCACCACACCCCTTTCCAGAATTATGCTATGCTAGAAGCAGACTGGCTGTGGACAGAATAAGTGTTAATAGCCCTGGTGGAGGAGGTAGCCAGATATTGCCCCTCTCAAAGACCCCTCATTTCTGTTTGGGGATATGATTAGCCACCAAAGCTATTAGTTTGAAGCTGCAGCTCTAAATAGATCAGTTCATGGCAAGTACTTTACAGCCCAGTTTTAAGGATGTTTACTTAGAAGTGCCTTGCACTGAATGAAATATGGCTTATTCCCCAGTAGGCGTGCAAAGAATCTTTCTTCAGCCTTAGGTTACAGTTCCATGCCCATTCTCATTAGCCCTGATTCATCCTAAAAATATGTTAAGTGAAGTTTTTCATAGCATAATTTAGGAAAAATCAAAGCTAGCATAAAAATTTCCATAGTTTTAAAAAGACAGGATACTACTACAAATCTGACTTAACAAACCAAAGTGACTTGGGCCACAAGCCTATGTGCTTGCAATCAAGATGCAATTAAGGCGCAATCTTGTGCATGTCCCCTCAGATTATAAATGTCATTGGATTAAGTAGTATGGCTTTGAGGATTGCAGCTAACATCCCACTGAACTCAATAGGATTTACTTTTAAGAAAAACCACACAATGCTACACATACATTGTACATTTAGGGTCAGTGACTGGCCGAGTTCAGTGAACTTCATGGCTGAGTGGGAGCTAGAACCCAAATCTCCAGAGACCCAAATCTCCTAGTCCAGCTCATTAACCACTACTGTCTTTATAGGTATTATAACATAACACATACATTGTACATACATTTTTCCTCAACAGGGAAAATCTTGAAAGAGCCCTGGATCAGCTCAGAGCTGTTTTCTACCCAAAACTACAACTGTTGTGTTTGTAATCTAAAAGTAGTATTTATTTTTACCACTACATAGTTCTTGAGTGAAACCTACATTTTTAAACAGTGTAAATAATACAGAATTGCCTAACTAGCTGCATTTCCCAATTTGTGAGGGAAACACCTTTTATGACTCACACCAAATTGAAATGCAACATACCTCATTAACAAGATGAGGGCTTCCTCTGACAGTCTTGGGAAGAGGACAACTAACTGATCATATTAAAATATGATTAAAAGGTTTTATTCAGCACCTTTTATTACAGAGAGGTTGAAACAAGTTGCAACTTTTGTTTCCAATGATTCACATCCAATTTTGTTTTGTTAAGAAGGTATCATTTCAAACTTCAGTTCTACTTATGTTTATGTTGTTCAGTTCTATTACCAGCAAAATAACTGAACTCAGTGCTGCTCTTGATAAACTATCCTATTTCAACTTGTCAGCAGTAAGCAGAAATGTCTATTTCATAAAAAAATAATCTCTTCACAATGTTAGCTTGTTTTTCTACTGATACCACTGGCAGAATTTCCTTTGTAAATTCTAGCTTTTTTCCCTCCTCCCCATCCCTTCTAAAATTTGGCAAGTTCTCCAAATACTTGGCCATTTCACTTACATAAGGTAGGAAAAGCACCCCACATTTTTTCACCAAAGGAACAATTACTTCTGGTCATCTGTATCATCTTTAAAGTATCCATAAAAACTTTAATTATAGAGAGTCCAGAATTAATAGGAAAAAGTAGTTCCTTCATAAAATATTTCAGCAGCCACATGGAACCTTAAGGACTAACATCATCAGATGCATTAAATGTTATTCTCATTTGGTAGGTTTTGGGGGGGGGTGGGGGAGGATGAAAAACTGGGGTTAAGACATGCAAAAAGTCTGTCACAGTTCACTGCATGCAAAATAAGCATAGTAACCATTCACAGAAACAGTAATGTGTGAGAACCATGCTAAAGAATGTGTTAAGTAAGTGAATACCTATGAAGACAGTAGTGGTTAATGAGTTGGACTAGGTCTCTGGAGATTTGGGTTCTAGCTCCCACTCAGCCATGAAGTTCACTGAACTCTGGGCCAGTCACTGACTCTAATATAAATAGGATAATAAATAATGAGACGGGAAGAAACTGCCTTTATTCAAGTACAAACGGATGGATTCAAGCTTCAATTTTAGCTCTAATTAAGCTATTTCATGCTGGAATATTCCTTCAGAAGTCCTGTATTGGACAATGACAAAATCAAATTCAGAACCAGAGAGTCCTGGATGATGAAAAAGTCTACTGGTTTCTGAATGTTCTGATGCAGACAGTTAAATTAATTGCACTGAATTTTACAAGAATTACCACTAGATGATCTGAAGAAACAACTACAATCAAAAATGCACACTCCATTTCTAGATAATGGGTTGAGAAGCACGAAGCAGAAAGTATGCACCACGTAACGAGTACTTGCATAATGAGTCATGTATTTGAGCAAATTCTGCATATATAAACTGAAACAGATAGCTCAATGAAACTTTCAACTCAGTATGCGAGAGACTTTTTAATTTACAAAAACAACATGCAGCAGCATTTTGAGGAGAGACTGGAGATTTTATTTCCCTACTAATCCACAAACAATTGAACCAGAATTCTGCATTCACCTGATTTTCAATAGATTCAAGGGTGGGTGGCTGAGCAAATCAGTCTGCACTGCTTCACACAATGCCTCATGTGTGGTCATTCAAAGCCATACAAAATGGCCATGACCACTGGCTTAAAAAGGGATAAAGACAGAATTGGTACATGGTATTTTGCTACTGGAAGCAAAAAAACAAGATGGTGCTCCATACCATTCTATATACAAAAGCCAACTGAAATGGCAGATGAATGTTTCTTCAATATTGGTTGATGCATCAGTGTCCTTCATTGTATCAGATAGCAACAAGCTAGCTTAGAGGTATCCAGCTTTCTAAAAGCATGAAGACTTATGTTTATAAGGCAGGCCATATTGTACACAACTCTCTTCTCCAGCACTTGGCTGCTGTCTTCCAGCATCTGCTGCTTGAGACTACCACCTCTCTGACCCTGGGAAAAATAAATAAAAATGAAGGAAACTGTATCAATATCTAGTTGTAATAGCCAGCTTGAATCTTCATGTTCAGAGACATTGTTGCTGAAAGTCAAGAGTCTTTATTTCCTTTTTTTGGGGGGGGTGGCAGGTGAGGAGCAACAGACTTATTATGCCTTCCTTGTGAACTTCAGAAGTACCTTCTAACCTTTTGTCTGATCCAGCAGAGCTCTTATCATAGATTACTAGCTGCAGAAGCTAGGAAGATTCCCCCCAGAAGCCTCAGTGCAGTTTCTTTCCGCTTACTAGAGGCTGCAGACAGACACAGAAAGGCTACAGACACATAGCCTTGTACAAGCTTTGCTCAAGTTTTTTTGCAGGATTGGCCATTATCAGTTCTGGGCAAGATGGCACAGTAGAGTGATCCAGTAAGTCAATTTGTGTAGGCTTACAGCATAAGGCACTTTTGAGTACCAGGACTTGCTCAAATGAAGTGATTACACAGTCACACCATTGTGTTTTGTTTGGCAGAATACACCTACTTATGGACTAGTCTCATCATAACTTTTTCCCACAAGAAAGGATCTTTGAAAATTAACTATGCTTTACATTCGGTTTAACTAAAACAAATTGCCTACACAGGTCCCAGATGCTGCATAGTAGAGTGGCTTTAAGAGGTCACCTGCAAGGGTATGTCTCAAAAGAGGATTCTGGAAAGTAAGAGGATGCTTCCCATACCATGGGTTAGACATGTGGCTGCTTTCAGGATTCTCATGCATTTTTTGAGTGCGAGATGAAAAATTGTTTTTTGGACTTAATACTCCAGTTTCCAGAATCTCCAGTTTAGAAATCCTAGAAGCAAAAGTATCTGTCTGGCACCTTGGAAAAATTGGCTGAAGACAGCTTAGTGCCAGGTGAAGATGATGGCACTATCACTCCAATTCAATTTAGGGGTGATCCTTTTATTTTTAAAATCATGTAACCTCTCCTGTGAAATATATCCTTGCTGGATATATTTCTTAATCATAAACATAAATTTTAATAAATCATTGTATATACTAAGTTTATACATACTTGTAGTTAAGGAGCCAAAATAAATAAGAACACAAAGCAATGTGGTATGGTAATCTGGACATAAGTAATAGTTCTGGAAAAGTTTAAGAATCGTTTTCTAACAAGTTGGACAATATGAGATTGACCAAAGCATCTTTTTAAGGCAGCATAAAGGAATTGCTTGCTATTCTATGCTGATCAAATTTGTTTCTTAATTGTTGCTAAACATGTCTCCTCTTCAAATAAAATAGCAGGAACTAATTTAAATCACAACTAGTGTTTTACAGATTAATATGAAGAAAAATATGCACAAAAGATAGTTTTAATCAAAGTAAGCAATATGTTTATTTGAACTTCAGTAGAGATGAACCACTAACTTTTGGAATAAAAAAATACTGAAAAAGTACTACAGCTTGAATGAATATAAAAAACATTAGCAGAAAGAAAACAATTTAAATGGTAAAAAAATTAACCTTTTAAGTCTGAAACACTTGAATAGGTTTGTTTAAGTCTTCCCAACATGTACTAACATCTGCTAAGTTGGCAAAACACAAAGCTCTTATAAAATGAAACAGCTACTTCCGTTATGTGAACTGCATCAAACTGCCCAATCTGTAAAAGGCTGTACAGTTTTGTCTTGAAATATACAGACCTTGCAGTACATGACAAAAGCATTTATTGACCTACCCTTGCTCTGTGAAGCTCTGGATGGGCAGAAATATCAGTTAGTAGTAGGATAAAGCCACTATAAAAATGAAATGCACACCGCAAGACTTGGACTGTTTAACAAGCTATGTTTACAGTATAATTCTACCTGTCCATGTCAGCTCCCCTTCCCACCCACCTCCCTTCAACTATCTAATTCCTTTAGGCTAGTCCATCTCTAACTTCCAAATACACTGTACATACATTTAGCAAAGAGCATACCTAAAAATTCTTGCAACAGTATGGTCAGTACACAGTTTCAGAAGATTACACAGAAGCCTTAGTTTGTTTGGGGCTAGCAACTATTACCAAGAACAATGGATTTCAAACATCATGAAAAGTTAGTTGAGAGAAAACAGTGTAATCATCAACTTTCTGTATTCCTTCCAGAACACACAACACAATGGATGTTCAGCACAAAGGGATCTTAGTGTGCCAGATAAGATTGCTTAAGAACAGTGTCTGGATTACATTGACTTGGTCATCCCTAGCCATTACACACTGCCCTGCATAAAGATTTGCAAGAGATTACTACTATGTAAACTAAAAAATCTTGATGCCAACTACTTAGTAACAGGGGTTTTTTCCCTGATCTAACAGTTGGTCACAGAAGTCAAGTATAATAAAGGCCACTGCCAGTTTTGTACATGTGTCTGACTCATACATCCTTCAAGTCATGCAAGGCTCAATAGTGTCTGAAGTGTAGCTGCTCAGAATCCTTTTTAAGACACGGAAGATATTGGGTTATGAGGAGAACCCATCTGTGTAAGAACTTTATCCAGCCACTGAAGGGGACCATGCAAGTGAATCTCAATCCAGCAGGGTGTGCTTGTAACATCTTGCCGATGATATTCTGCTCCCCAACCCTAGAAAGTGAAAAGAAGGAATGTTCCAGCAATTAGTGTTGCTACAGATGTAGCTGCATCTCAACGATAGAGCAGACTTTTATATGCGAACTTTCTTTAAAGGCAGCTCTCAGGATCCCACAGACAAAACACCTCTGACACAATGCATCTAACAAAGCACACTGGTCCCTAAAAGTAGGAGCATTTGAATAGTAATGACAACAGAACTGTTCCAAATCAAAGTATAAGTGATGTTGCGTATGACAGAGACATTATATTTATGGAGTTTAAGACAGCCAGTGCAATGGAGGGTATCTGGCAGCAGCTAGACATATTTCTTACAAAGTATACTTTACAGACCTCCTTTTTCTCCCATTTTAAATGTTCATACCACCAGGTATACTTTATGCCATTTGTGTACTCAAGCAAGAGTGCACAGCCATTTTCAGTGGCTGACTGAAAACTTTCATCTGAGGTAACTTACTAAATTGTTGCAAGATTTGTGTTGATGGTCCTTTGGTGGTCATGGTTAGGTTTTTGGGGAATGGTATAGGAGTAAAGGGAGAAAGGGTTTTGGAATCACCTGTTTTAGCCTGCTATTTTAGCCAAGAGTAATTCTTAGACCATAACCTACTCTGAACTTTACTAAAAATAAAATAAAAACTTGAGTAGCACTAGCAATTCTCCTTCACAAGTTTGCCTCCTGCCACCCCCTACCCCAAAATTCTTTCTTACCTTTACAAAGCTCATACGGATAGTGCACATCTTAGTGAGTTCATACACAGTTTCAAAGCCATGGTTGACTGACTGAGCCAGAAGTTGGGCAAACTCCTGGTTGTTGAAGATTTTCAGACTGCAGCCACTTGGGATTTTGCAGACTGTGGTTGGGTGAAAACCATGATGGTAATTGCAGTTTCGACTTTGCACAAATATACTACTGTCACTAAGGCACTCTGCATAAACCTCTCCACCAACGTAATAGAGGTGAACGCCTACAAAAGAAACAGAAGATTTGTTAGAATTATCCAAGTCAAGGTGCTTTAGGTGGGTGCAGTAGTTCAAAGCAGCAATTTTCTATTAAAAAGTAACTTCTGTTTCTGAGATAAAGCATCAGTAAGGAACCCCATCCATACACCTGAACCAATAAGTAACTACAAGTGGAAATTCCTTCTTTCTATATTTTATTGGCAATATCAGTCAATCTGGTACTGTTTTTTAACATCTGTACACCTCTTTGATTTAAATGATCTTCATAGTTTGAAAATCCCTGTGTTATTTTTCAGGATGCAGGTGCAATTGTTTTGGCAGACATGGGAAGTAACCAAGGAAGAAAAGGGAGTAGAAGTGCATCTGCTCAACTCTTACTAATACAGTGGAACAGGTACCTATTTACAATGTGATAAGACCACTACATCCTTATTTTATGTGGTCCAATTTTTATCTTCTATTTAGATCTTCTGGGTATTTACTATCAATTTAGTAGGATTACAGTAACTTAAATATGCACATTTCTTGGCAGAACCAGAAAATAAACTATTAATGTGGACAATATTTTCCAGGAGCTAAATTTAAGAGCAAGGAGCCTTACTGAACTGAGTAATGAAAGAAATGGGAATTCCTATACACTACATTTCTGTAGGAACTCAGCATTAAACTAGTACTAACTCAAGTAAAAAAAATAAGCAAGATAAACTTTTCTACAATCACCCCTGAGATTGGTGATATTTGCCCTAAAGTTTAGAGACCATAGCTGTGATCCAGAACTGGAGAACCAGTGGGATATAGTGATTAGAATGTTGGAATAGGGCTGAGGATTCAATTCCCCACTCAAACACAAAACTTAATGGCTGACTGTGGGTCATTCTCTTTTTGTCCTACCAAAATCACGGGTTGTTGCTATGATAAAATGGATGAGGGTGTTCCCTTGTGTTCCTTGGAGAAGTGGCTAGATTTACATGTAGTAAATGAAATAGGTTTGTCCACAACTAGCTCCATGCTCTTCGCAAGGCTTATTTTACCCTAGTCAACCAACAAACCTATCATTGTGGGAAGAGCTGTTACGGAAAAAAAGGATGAAAATCCTTAAGCTTTGTTATATAAACCCATAAGTTCTTTTGTGCACCAAGAAGTACATGTTGAATAAGTTTAGAACACAAACCTGGAAGAAAAACCATATTATATGTAGTAAAAAATTTATATCCTTCACCAAGGAATGGGGGAGAGGAGAGATCTCTTCCTTGTTTACATCTTTTTTAAATAAAATAAAGCTATGCAGCTTGAGAAACATGCTGGAATCCAATGAGAGCTATTGTCTCAATTTTCAATACACATCTTCAAAATTCAAATTCATCTTCCCTCAAAACCAACCAAGAACTTTTAAAAACAAGTGATTTTTCTTTCAAACAATTTTAAAATACAGAAGCTGCAAAACCATCGATAATAATATAGCTGTTGCTTCTGAAAATCCAAATCATACTGAGAACCAGATCATTGTTTACTACTTCAGTCCTTAAAATAAAGGAGGCAACAAATCATTGTGGCAATTCACTTTGGCAATTCACATGGAATATTCTGTTCCACAGCTGAGGGGGTTTTTTTTAATCTAACAAGAGTGTTTTCTTTCCTGAACTGGGAGGGCAGGAGATTCCAAGCTCACTCCCATTCCTAAAAAAAATACCTTCACCATTATTTTGCAATGTGCACTGCTGTATCAGGAGGCCTGAAACAAAACCTACTGCAGTATACGTGCATCTCCATAGTCATAGCTCAGATTCTTCTCAAGAACAGAATGGGGCTGGGGAGTAGCTAGAATACTTACAGAAGCCTTCCTCAGTTTGATGCCCTCCAGATGGCCCTCCTGATCTGGGATGGAGGAATGGTGTTGTAACAAAGTAGTTTGGAGGGCACCAGGTTGGGAAAGACTTCTTTCTAGAGTTGCTCGTCCCTACAGGTTGACAATGATACTGTGCTTACAAAGAGATCAAGTAGAGAATGTTGCTTCTCAAAGAAACCATGAGGCAATAAACACAGCTTCTTCCTTCACCCTCTCACCTTTAAATATGATAAAAACAGTACCTTTTCCAATATGCCGCCTGGTGTTCTCAATGGTGGAATTCCGATTAACATTAGAGAGCAGCCCTAGGCAAAATCTGTTCTTGTTATTGGAAGGATCAGTGAAACCATCCACCAAAAGACTTGTGGAAGAAGCATGAAATGCCTCTCCAACACGATTGTTGAGCTCATAGTAAACAATAGAGCACCAATGTTTTGGCTCTTCATAAGCAACTGCCTGAACATCTGCAAAAGAGGAAAAACAGAAATCAGTGACACTAGAATTAATGAGTTCCTGAGCTTTAAAGTATTATTTATTTATTTCCTGTGTAGATTTTGGCTTAAGATCACTGAAGAAACAAAAGTGGGGAAAATCTGGCTATGCAGCTGCTAATTAAAAGTCATTCTCCCAGTGTCCCATTATAGAGTGTGTTTTTGCTGCACTAGCAATGCAGTCAAAGCCTCCACACTGGGAATAGAGATGATGATATAAAAGGTTTAGGAAAAAGACATGTGAAGGTTTTTCTACCATCCTGCTCTGCAGTTTTGCAACTAGCCCACTTGCAAAGCTACACAGCAATGCTGATAAACTGGTTAGGATGAGATAGTGTTGGTTAAAGAGCATCAAAGCTTGGGAGTTCAAATTGCCAGCTGAACTGTGAAGCTGATTAAGTTACTCATAGATGGCTTAGTCCCATCTGGGTATGTTGCCCTGAGATCCTTGGGAGCCACTGGAGTAAAATGCACATCATGCAACAACAAATATTATGAAATTTGCTATTTTAGAATTTAAAGAAGAGATTCATACTCCAGCCTAGCACAGAAGGGATAATACTAATTCGAAGATGCTTTCTTCAGACAAAGTTTTCTCAGCCTTTAACCCTCAGAAGTTTTAATCTGCAGCTTCCTTCATCCCTGATCATTAGACATGCTGACTGGGAATAATGGGCATTGTAGTACAAAATCTGGAGACCAAAGTCTGGGAAATGACGCTTTAAACTTGATGTTTACTTCTTATGCAAATCTGATGAAATCAGCTAAAAGTAAGAAGGTTAACCAAATAGGATTTCTTTAATCAGGTGAGCACCCTAACATAGTTGTAATTGATAAAATTTTATTCAGTGCTATGTTTCAGCAGATGTACGTGGGCCTGAAAGAACTAACCCAAGACTGACCCCATTTACCTCCAAAATTGTTCGGTCACCTAAAGGCAGGCTTTTTTCTTTATAGGTGAGTAGTTACATGTTTGCTTCTATACAGGACAAAAACTAAGTGTATTACTATGAGTCACACCTCTTGAAAGCACAAGGTTTATGTATGCATTGAGCTATTGCTTGAGAGAAAAACTTTTAAAGCAAAGTGCTAATGGACATACGAAGTGTTGCACAACTGATCAGATCTTTCAGGTTGGCACTTAAAAGCCAGGCACAAAAGACAATAAAACACTAATCACATGAAATGTTATTCTGGGGGGGCGGGGATGGCAAAACTACAACCAGACTTATCTTCCCATTAAGTTGCAATAACTCCTTGAAGCCATCTTATACTCTTGTGATGATGACCTGTACAAGAATCTTGTTTGTCCTGAATCTACAGTTAATTAAGTGAAAGAGTACTTACATTTCATAGGATTATTACTACCCCATGATGGTAGGCCACATCAGCATTCCCCAACGTTGTACACTCCAGCTGCATTGGACTGTAATGCCCATAATTCCCAGTCCATGCTGGATGTGAATTATGGAAGTTGCAGCCCAGCACAACTGGAGAGCGCAAGCTTGGAGAAAGCCTACCTATTCCTTCTACTTCCAAGAACTGAGGAGCACTTAATACTTTGAAGAGCTAAATAACCAAACATAAGAATGCAAAAAGGAAGTGGGAAGAGAGAGAGAAAAAGACAAGACTTCCTGGATAAGGCCATCCAGATAAGTCTAAGATAATAAGAGTCATGTGGCAGTTTAAAGATGAATTCATTATGGATATGCTTACATTAATTACAGATTAAGTGAACTCTAGTCCATGAAACCTTATACCAGGGTCTTTCAACCTTTTTGGATCTCTGGGAACATATGAGAATTTGAAAAACTGCTGTGGGTAGTATCACAAAATGCATAACTAGTAGGTTGCTGCTTTAGTATCTACTTGGATCTGAGGCTGTGTCTTATTCACTAAAAACATTAGTTTCATGCCGATTGGATGCAACAATATCTCTATAATAAGGTATTATCTAATTCAGTGCATTGGTGGTAATGTAATACAGCTAAAGTTTCTTTTAAACCGATGTTTTGCCAATGTCCAGCATTTGTTTTTTAATGGGGGGGGGGAGTCATTACACTGATGAATTTCCTTGATATATATGCTCTTTTAAATTACCTGCTTCATGGAAATTAATAAAGGAAAGAGGTAATGGATTCTCTGCTTCTGTGACAGCTAAAAGACTGATATTACAAAATTAGAATGATAAACAGCCACCTCCCATAATGTAATGGATTAAGAAATTTACAGTGTTTTCAATATATGAATGAGTGGCATATAAAAGCAATTTGGATACTTATTTAGATATTAGGTCTACTTGTGTTAAATCTTAAGCATAATTGATATAAATCTGAGTACATCCCATATACATGGGTGCTCACAGGACCATGTGAGGACCCCTTTTCTAACACCATTGAAGGTTCTTGCAAGCACTTTGTCTGGGGCTCCTGTCTAATGCCATAATATATTTTTAGTGTTTCAAAGCTGCTAAAAGACATTCATGATATTCCTGTAACAGGCTAAAAAACTGTCCTAGATTATGGCTAAAACAGTTATTCTGAATACTGAACTCAGTTTTATTTCCAAACAAGTGTTTAAAAGATCAAGACTTTTAAGAGGTGCATGCTGAAATGCATAATAGTACCTCAAAGGATTTTACCCAAGAAGTCTCCCAGCTAATTTTCCCTGCAAAGACAGAGTAATTCCCCTCCTTATCTAAAAGTTATAGTTATCTCTGTCTCTCCCATCCCTTTACATTACTTGTACATTTAATTGCTCAGCAAAAGTTTAAACTGATGCAAGTAGTCTTTCAGGCTTCAAAATGATTGACATCTGTCAAGGACTGCAGACTAGAAATGCTCAAAGGCCTTGCAAACACACTTTAGTATATGAAACTCATGGCTGCACACATGATTTGATCTTTCTTGCTTGAAAATGTTGGTCAAGAGGAATGAGTTTCACTCAGCCTTGTCTGGCATTAACTACTACCAACCTGGAATATTGTGTCTAGTTGTGGGCATCAAGATTTAAGAAAGATGCAGGAAAAAACAAAGAGTTCAGAGGAGGCAACAAAAATGATTCAGGGTTTGGCAACCCTGCCCCAAGAAGACAGGCTGAGAGAACTGGGTTCTATTCAGCCTAGAGAAGAGAAGACTGGGGCGGCAGGGACATGATATCACTCTGTAAGTACCTCAAAGACTGCTACTAAGTGGAAGGTCAAGATCTCTTCTCACTTATACCAGAGTTGTAGGACATGGAAGAATTAACTCAACCCAGATTCAGGCTCGATATCAGGAAGTTTCCTAACTGTCAGAGCAATAAGACAGTGGAACCAGTCGGCTAGAGAGATTGTGTGATCTCCCACACCAGAGACATTCAAAAAGAAACTGGAGAGTCATCTGAGAGGGATGGTGTAAATTGGCGACCTGCAACAGCAGGGGGATGGACCCAAACACCGTTTTGGCCACTTCCAACTCTACTATTCTATGATTCTATGAAACTGACTTTCTGCAGTAGGTAAGAATTTATTTTTTCACATGAACCCAGGTAGAGATACAATTTCTGTTTTAGAGATAGGAACTGAATGTATATATAAGATTAGATGGCAGATTCCAACAACTAAAGGGGAAAAAAATGCCAAGGTCCTGTTTACTAATCATCAGAGCTATGCCACGTGGTACTGATGCTAACAAGCTGTGGCATTTTTAAAATCTTTTCAAGCATTGTAAAGCAATCTTTAATTATTAGAAAGTGGGTGCACTGTTCACTGTAAGATGCCAGTAACTATTAAAGCTATGCAACTTTGCCCTAGTTCTCAAACTCAGGAAGAAATCCTGCCAGCTGGCCATTCCTACAGAATGAAATCATATCTCTCTCACACAGATTTCACACTAACTTCCTCACATTTGCCTTAAGTCATGCAGAGCAGGTGCGTTTTGTCTCTCCATTCCCAGCATGAGCCAACAATAGGAGTTACCCAACTTCATTGACAGGATGCAGCTTGTTAAGTCAAATCTCTTAAGACTAACAAATCTTCACAAAGAACAGGCCTCTAAATGTCTATAGCTAGAGAGTTTTTGAGCCTCCATTTACATAAACATGAACTGCAGCAGACCTTTCTGAAGGACTATTAAACAAAGGACATAGCCATACATATCAGGTAGGGGAGTAAAGAAATGAGCTCACAGAGTTAAGGGAAACAGGTGTGGGGTTAACAATGTGAATACAGAGGAAACAAAGGTAATTTTGCCCTCATTAAAAAGGGCAGGGAAAGAGGTATTAAGACCAGAGTTTGTGGGGGTCGGTGGCATAAGCTTTTAAATAGCTGCATTTCTTACTGGCAGTCATGCTTTCAGAGTTACCATTTCTCTAATTCAGAATCTGTAAGGTTCAAGACAAAGAACAAGTGGCCTTTTGTGAGCACAGAGGGTAAAGATGTGAGTGTAACTACTTCCAGTAGCAACAGTGGCTTGTAAATATGTCAGATGCCTAATCTGGCAACCTTTAGAGCACAGTTCTACTGGGATGATTGGAAGCCCCCAAACTTGGAGGCTTGTGTTCTTCTATGCAGGGCAGAGATACCTCCTCACCCACTTACCCTACATTTTTGCTAGAACTGGTTTCTTGACCCTCTAGCAAAAATGTTTCACAAGAAGAGATCAGGAAACCAGAGAGGTTGCAGGATTGTTTGTCTCCTTCCCTCTGAGCCCACCAAGGTTTTATTCTAGGGATCATAAAACTACTTAAGTATTACATATGAAGATGTTGTGACTGTGGTCTATCTCACACACAACACTCCCCAATGCAGGGACATCTCTGCATTGCAGCCCAGCATATTTGCTTGGAACCAGAACATGCAAGCCAATCCTTAAAGACTAAATTAGAGTAAGTCAGGCAGCCCCACTGATTACTTAGGGAACACCTAAGGAATGCAAGAATTCCAGGACAAAAATATAGAATATTTACGAAAATAAAAGGTATGGATAAAGTCTACAGACTCAGGCATAAATGCTAATAAATTGCTTTCTGCTTCCTTTTCAGCTGCAAGGCTTAAGCATAATGAACTGATCAGCAAAACCACCAAAAGATTGTGGTTGCTTTAGTATGTTAAATTTACCAAGGAACTGTTATTTTTCAAATACTTTTAAAGCTGTTCATTAGACTTAACAATAGCCAAGTTATCCAGGTGGCTACATATTTAATCTCAATGGCATGTTATATGCTTTCTAGTTGCCTCAGCCATCTGCCAGCAACTGTGGGGAGGGAGAGGTACTGTAGCCTCTGAATGCCAGTATCCAACTGGGCACCACTTGGCTGCTATGCCAATTTTCAGAACTTGTTTCGAAAAGAATCCAAGGGAGAAGAGACATTGCTATTCACTTCCTGTTATTCCTGAATGTGAGTACAGCACTTTAAAGCATTCCTAGTTCCCACTCATAAGATCATGCTATTGCCATGTTTACATTCATCACTGAAGTACCATATACTTATGTAAGGAATAATTTATGCAAAGGATGAAAAAAGTTTCACCTCCTCTGTTTACTTCTGGAGGAATTGAAGGTGCCATCATACTGGTGTCCATTGGCTGTGAACCATCCTGTGTCATCTGATCTTCTGGAGGTAGGTAAGCAGGAGGGGGAGTATCAGCTAAGTGTAAAACACAGATTATTTCATCTTTGTACATTTACAGTAAATGGAAAGCGTTAAGAGGTCAAACCACATTCCCACCCACTCATGATAATCCAAAAAAATTTGTTCCTCTGTCTCTAATTCTTCAGTTTTGTCTAGTGAGCCTCCTTCAACTCTTAAATAAGGTGAACACAGAAGACATTAGTTTTTGATTAAGGAATCATGCTAAAAATTTCTTTTAACAGATCTATGCTTGTGAGAGGTTTGACATAAATGCAAGTCATGTGAAAGAGGAGGAGGTTAGAGAGAATGATGGACAGGATGGTTAGTCTTAAGGGATTTCCAGTGATTTTAGCTACTTAAGTATCAGAGTCCTCAGGTAAGATTTGAGGCTAAGCTCTGGTATTTCTTTTGTTCTTCTGCCTCTTGCAACAGTCACTCTTCAAGAGCTAGAATTTGGCTGCAAGGGCTGCTACACCAAACTAAGGAACGTAATGAAGGCCACTTTACATTTCTGTTACATTGAAGGTAATAAAATAGCCACTTAACAAGGCAGAACATTTCAACTGAGAGGAGAACAATGCACATTTTAAGATTACCAGCAGCCAGTAATGAATGCTAATATATGCAGATGCAACCCAGTATAGAACCCTGCTGTTAGGCTGGTGATTGCTGGGTGGTGGCCAGAGTCTACCAATTGAAGTCATCACTAGCTCTGCAGGTGAGGAATATCAGCTGCTGACAGCTACACAAATAATACTTTTAATGTTTCTGTTCCTCAGCCATCTGTGAGTGTTCCCACATTATTTATTTAAGCTTAACCATTGCCTGGATACTTAAGCCCCAAGTTCTCTTCACCCAAGAATTGCATTATTTTAGTGTCCACATACTAATAACTAAGCACTTCCTCAATTCCTTTTCACAACCCAAAATACACTGGGAAAAAATGTAAGTTAACTTATGTCACTAACTAAGACATAGGAGTGACATTTCAAGCTTTGCAAATTAACCAAAAAAATCAACAAACTGGGGCTTGAGGAAAAACACTTAAGGCTAGAGATAAAAGCATGACTTTCTGGGAAACCCTAGACAGCTGGATTGGGACAACATGTAGGTAGGACTCAGGCTCCAGGTTCCCTGCCCCTGGTCTGGTCAGTGATTGGCCAGGACTTACAGCATCTGCCCTGTCTCCCCATCATCTTGTGACACAAGCAGAGATGTTAGTTTTGATCAAGTACCAAATAGCTTGGCTACAGGATGGCCAACAGAAGACCTCAGTCTCTGTGTTCTCATGATCAACAGAGTGGTTTTTTGATGCCATCTATGTGCCATAGTTGGCTATCAAGAATGGACGGAGATTTATGGTGCTCTATACTTTTTAGAATTCCATTCTTGAAAGTTGGAGGATGCCTGTGCATCCACTGATCAATTACTATATAAAACTGTGATTATATGACATCTGCTCAGGCCTTTGAGATATGGTAGATTAAAAAAAATAATACAGCACTCTAAATGTTCAGTGTGAAGAATGCTGCAGCAACCCTAAAGCACTGCTTTTGAAACTGGTACCAAGTTTTCTCATAGGATGCAGAACTTCTTTCAAGTTGACAGATGAAGTACATTTTGGGAAAGCTGCTGGGGCCCTGTTCCAGAGATAGATATAACAGAAAGCAAAATGAGCAGAGAGAAAATGCCATAAATACCAGTATATTGACACTCAAAGGTCTTACTATCAGTAATAAAGCCTGGAAGAGGCTTTTCAATTTTTTAGAATGAGGGAAACCACAGAAATACTGGGAAACCACCAAATATTCTGGGGAAAGGGGGCAAGACTGCCTATAAGAGATTTGCCCCTGGAATAGAAGTTCTGTACCCAATGTAGAGAACTAAGTCATTAAGAAGTACTCAAGTACAATCATACTTCCAACTGTTGTATCAACTTTATGTCTCAACTCAACTGGTCAAAACACAGTTCAGACAATGCATGCAATAGTTATAACTTGCTGCTTTTAAGAGAAGCTTACCTGGAATCTGGAAAGGGCTTCCTGGGTCAGAGCTGGCTGGCGAATGAGGATAGGTGCCACTGGTGCTTCCAGGGGAGTTTGGATAGCTGCTGTTCGGCGAATGAGGGAACGCATGACTGTTGGGCTGCTGGAATGAGTCTGGAAAAGTAGCATTGTGTGGCATATGAGGCTCATTTTGCCCCAAATTGCGAAACTGAGCCAGAAGACTGTGCTGAGGGTTGTATTCGCTGTGTCTTGGAACAAGCACAGGAGGAAGAACTAGATAACGATAAAAAAATTTAACAGATAAAGGTTAAGTCTTTGATTATTGGATTATACTTACAGGGGAAATGTGAGATGTCCTATGTATGGATGGAATAATTACATATGCAGTAGATGAGATACTCACATTCTAGGAACAAGCAGGTCTAAGCAAGAACACTTCCTAATATCCAGTTACAAGATAATTTACATTCTTAGTGGACATATTGAGTGCCAGGGTCCCAGAGTTACAAGCTCAGTTTTCACAGCAGCTGGGAGAAAGGCAGTGTTAGTGCTGGGGGTGGAAAGAAGAGTGGGGAACTTCCTGCTTGTTTGTTTTATCCATCAAACAAGGGACAACATTTTGTTGAATTAAACTTTTGTGTATATTTCTAGCCTATTTGATGTCCCTGTTAACTACTTAATAATTTCCAAGTCAAAAGCCTACTATTGGGAAATTCTTCTGAAGACAATGATAGCAATACATAGGCCATGAACAGAGCTAAAAGACAACAGCTGAAAGCTTATTTTTAGCTTAAGCAATGTGCTAGAAGGTTAAAAATATTATTCATTTAACTCTGGTTAGTTATGAGTTCAAGTGTTATACTGTACAGAGCAAGTAGAGTAGTATATTATGCTTTGGAGATACTATAGACGCACAGCTCATGGTTCAGTTTAACACTTATGCAGGTGCGTGTGTGTGTGCATTCCCTTCTATGTGTGTTTAGCAGTTATACCTGTAGAACAAGCAAATCACTTTTTAAAGAGCACCAAATGATGTAGCAGCATGTATGCAAATATAAAAACGACACATCCCAATCCTGATGTGTTATCTTGTGCCCATTGTTTTTAAATGGCTTATTTCAAAAGATTTATGCACAGTTGGAACCATCTGAAATTGGGTGGGTCCAGAATTAAGACTTGTTTAGAGAAGACCACTGAAACCAATGGGGCTTAAGTTAGTCATGACTAAGTCACACTACTGTCAATGGGTTTACACAAAACATGACTAACCATGACACAACCCATTATTCTTCCTCTCAAATATATGCCACATAACATTGTACACAACTTGCTTTCTGCATGTTACTTTTGCTGAAGCTCAGTCCTTTCTACTCTGTAAAGGTAACCACACTATCATCTGGTGATGCTGGCAAAGAAAGAGCCACAGTATAGGTTTTTCCTTCAGAGAACTAGGCTATGTGCACAAAAACATCAATTTCTACTCTGCCCTTTGATCAGGACTATGGCAGTCCAGGAAGGGAGAATCTAACCTTACAGCCAATAATGCATATATATGTGATTCCAAGTCTGTTTAGTTGTCCCTTCCCTCCATCTACTCTTGCACAAACATGGTTCCAGTTCCAAAGCTGCAAAGGCCAGGAATACAAAGACTTGTGGCTGACTTCCTGCAGCAGTGCAAGACCAGATGCAAAGTAAGTGGCAGAGTGCTGGATGCTACCAATTTGGAGGTTCATTGCTGCAAAGACCAGCCAAGGTTTGTGGGGAAGTGAGTGCCAGGTGAGCCTCCTGGGACAGGTATTCTGAAGATGGGGTACCACAATCAAGGTGGTCCTGTTCCTGGTCACCACCTGCCTCAACTCAGAAGGCAGAACACTTGGAAGAGAATCTCTGAAGGTGATCATAGCATAGGGACATGTTTGTATGGCAGTAGATAATACCAGTTTGGCTCTTCTTCGAACTGCAAACATCTGAAGAAGGGAACATTGTTGTATACATTTCAACTCTCTACAAATGTTGCAAAAGTGCATACAAAAGCTTGGGTCCAAAGCACCTTTTCCTTATGCTCTCCTCCTCCAGTGCATCCCCAGATCCACTCGAGGGGAGTGCCAAGCCCTTCACAGCATATCTGAGGGGTGCATGCAGGGGTTGCAGGGCAGGGAAGTGGAAATCTGTTCTGCCAGTGATTTTCATTCAGCTGACAGAAGGTCACCATTGGCTTAAACCCCATGTTTACATGTGTGTCATATTCTTCTTCCAAAAGGAACAGTAGAGCACAGCACACATATGGCCTTAATTTCTCTCTCTCTCATCATACAACCATCCTGGCAAGGTAGATTTGCTGGAGAGAAGCAATTCAGCAAAGCTACCCAACAAATTCATGATGCAGCAGGATTTTGAATATAATTTTCCCATATGCCAAAGGAAATCCAACATTCTGGCCATTATTGTTTTTTTTCAAAAACCCAAAGTTGCCAATCACTTAGACTTCTTCCTTTTCCTGCAAATATTCAGGGAATTAAAAAATTGCATCATCTCTCCCTCTCACTTCCTGCAAAGTGATCAAGCCTAGAATAATGTAGGATTTGATTATTGGAAAAAATGCAGCTTTTCCATTCTCTCTCACATTTAAACAATGGCATATGAAACACTGTTTCAAGCCATGTATTTTACAGTATTTTTAGACTAGCTGGGAGAGAATCTTCAGTGTTGCTTTAATCTATCCAGTTTTAGACTGCAAATCAGACTTCCCAAGGACACAAAAACACTGCATCTTCCACATAAACTACAAAGGGCAGAAAGAAGAAACAGCATCACTTCTTAACAGCTCATATCATTGATTAAAGATTCTCCCATATTGTGCAAGTAGATGGAAGTTCTGTATCATTGTTTTCCCTTTCTAAAAATCCCATTTGCAAAGTTTTCAGCTAGAGCTGCTTACAAATACCATGCAGCAAATGTTCAGCACTCCTTTAGGTTCTAAATCTGACATCAGTTTAACATGGACCTACCTGTCCTAACAGATTTAAATGCTACCAGCATAGTTTTTAGGGCAGCCCCTGCTTGCTCTTGGGAGCTTGCCAACTGCCAGTAATTGGACTGAGATGAATTGCTTTAAGACACTCACAGAAAAGGGTAGCTGCATTGGCCATGGCCTTTCCCCATGACTGTGTTAGTGTTTTCCTCCCACCATTATGAAAATCTGAATGTACAGAAGCCTGCTAATGACTTGGGTCCCATGACAATACCTGTGAAGATGAGAAACCCCCACCCAGAAACTGAGGTCTCAATGAAAAATCTGCCAACAAATTGAACAAGAGAAAGTACAAGGAAGCCTGTATAAAAAGATGTAGTAGTTAACTTGATCGTGTTAGACACCTACGCTGTACAAACTAAATTGCTAAAATTCAGCACAGCAGGGAAGGAGGTTGATCTCAGAAGTAGCTGTCAGCCCAGGGGAAGAGGCAACATTGAAGAGACAGCATGAAACTTTTGCTGGGTTGAGCCAAGCACACCTGTTATTCCAAAGTAATTAAGAGACACAGATCTGCTCTCTGAAGAGGCTGCAAGACCCCCAGAGGATACAGTTGTACAGGTGTTAACTCTTTCCTATCTTGCATTACAGTGGAAAGCTCTGCAAGAAATAGTTTTATTCTAGTACTTTCTAAAGCAACTCCATTGCCAGCTATGTCTGCCTTGTTCATCTAGTGATAGTTACCATTGTAAATATGCTTTAGTTGTACTGCCAAACAGATTTGCCTTACAACAAACTTCCTTTCTTGTATAATTTTCTTGTCCATTGTACTTCTGAAGGACTTGAAAGGCACATATAACAGCATAAGTGTCACACTAGCACTTATTACCTCAAACCCTATTAGTGCAGAACTGTTTATCAACCCTAAGCATAGATCATCTTATCTGCATCTTAGGTAGCCAACAAGACACGCCTACTCATAGGAAATGAGATCAGTTCTGCCATACACCTACATAAACAATTTAAGATTAAACCCTAACCAGAGGCAACTTTCCCCTGCTTGGTGTCATTCAGGTGTGCGATGGCCTAAATTCACAGCAACTAGATCCAGGAAGGCTGAAATAAGGTCACTGGAACTGTAAACCCAAGAATTAATGGTTCAGAATCCTAACTTATTCTCTGAATGATGGCTTGGTTTTCTCCCTCGACCAGCCTGAAGCTTCTTTACATTTGAAAATTCACAGGAAGTTTAAAGCATCTTGGAAACTAATTTAGATATGCTACTTCTACTAGCTTTTCGAGTGTTGCTCGTCCTGAAGGTTCAGTTGCTGTAGGCCTCCTATTGCTCAGCTTGACCTTACTCTGCTTCCCTCTCCTCCTCAAAAGAAAGAACCCAGAGACAGAACTCTCTATTTCAGTGCTTTAGATCACCTCTTTTCTTGTTTGATATAACTAAGTCCAAAAATATTATCCTTCTCCATGACATTCCTCTATGCAGATACAAGTTATTGCTGTAGATTAGAATGCTGCAGATTAACCAGAGATTACTTCAGTTGAGGAGAGGCCAAGCCACATAAACCAGTTATACCCAAGTCAGGGTGAAACAAGCTGGGGTTATCAGATATTTTGGACTACAACTCCAGCAATCCCTGACCACTGGTTATGTTGCCTGGGGTTCATGGAGGCTGAAGTCTAACAGATCTAGAAGGCACCAAACTGCTTACATCAGGGGTGGACAATTTGAAAGTATGGGGGAAGGGGATAAACACTTGTAAATTGTTTTTTATTTGGAATAAGTAAAATCCTTCTTGACAAAATTTTAAAATAGTACTTTTAGCTGTCCTTTACTTGCTAGAATACTAATAAATACAACATCTTTCCCAATCTGGTTTCTGTCAGATGTTTTGAACAACTACTTCCAGTTTCCTGATCATTGACATACAGGCTGGGGCTCATGGAAAAGCAAAGTCCAAAGCATCTGGAAGAAATCAGCTTGGGAAAGGGTTGGGTTAGTCATAGTTATTTTAAACTGTGGATACATACAACCTGCTTCAGATTCCTTGGTCTTCTGCATGTGAAAGAAGCTGTTCCATGTTTGGAAATGTACACCAAATCAAGAACCAAGCTAAAATGTGAACTAATTTGATCCACAACTGCCTTCAATTCAATTCTCTGAAGCCCATGGAGATAACGATGAAAGTTCAGAATCTGAAAATATTGGTCTTTCAAAAATAAGCTGCAATTAGAAAAGAAAAACTTTTTCTAAGCACGTATCAACAGATTAATTGTTCACATGATATAA